CCTGTCAAAAATTATGCTTAGTTACCCCTTCCCCCAAAGTTCTTCTTTTTTGGACGATTAGAAATGCAAACATCCGAAGAGAAGTTATTTCTTTTATTACCCATGTAAGAGAAAAAGCCCAACAATTGACTGTATAAGGGAACTAAGCAATAACGGAGCCTCATCACATTTAACCCTATCCAGAATATATGGAACGGAACAACCCCACTCGACCACAGATAGAAGCTCTCTCGCTTTCTTACATCTTGAGCATCGATTGGCTCGTGGAATCATGTGCCCTTTGTTCCATTGTATGGATCAGCGAATCAAACCGCAAGAAGAAGCAGAAACTTTTCTGCCTCATTTCTGCCTGAGAAAAGTTCCCAAGAACCGAAGCACAAAAAAACGAACTACACTCATTGCGGTAGATCAATCATCCAGCTTCGATTCAAAACCTTATCCGAGGAAATCTGCCCTGCCCTTCTGGCAGGAGAGGGGATAGATTTCGGACCCTGTGGATCCATTGTTGTGGGCTCATTTGCATGTTAGCACTTTAGTATTAGTTAGAGATGAGGGGGTGTTAATAACAAGATAATAGGGGCAACAACTTTAACGTTTTAATCTTGAATCTGCCAGGAAGTAGACGAATGTGATTCAATATTTGGCGCCAGACATTCAACATTAGTACCACGTTTCGGAAGGAATAAGAAGCATTGAATTCTCTTGAACATAGATCAACGAAAATGAGATGATTAATCCATAGAAAATATTTCAAAATATAAAAAAGCTATTCAATAGTATTTCTCAAGTATATTACCCAACTGTATCTAAATCAATGTGAGCGTTTGGAACTACATATGATGATCAAAAGGCAATTTATAGGTGTATACCAATGATATCATCCAAGGCTATTGCATTTTTCAATCCTCTTGAAACATTTTCTGGCCTTTAGTGATGCAAGGCATAAAGATTTATATTGATTACTAATTAGCATCTTTGGAGAGAGAATTTTTGCTCTTAGCAAATAAACCAAGGTATTTGTAGCAGAACTAGAAATCGAAATATATGAAAACTTTGTTCCATGATGCAAATCTGTATATGTTCCATAGCTCGCAAAAGGGTTTCACTACATTGAAACTTCACAAGATCGGTAAGGTCTCTGGGCAATTAATAATGCGCTGCTCTTAGATAGAGCCAGAAGCATCAAAGCAAGCGTCGAGAAAGAATTGGACTGGTTTGCAGAGCCATTCTTAACACCTACTGCAAGTATAAACAGTTTTGAATTGCTTCTATTTTCAAAATGGCGGGAAAATTTCAAGGATGCGTTTTCGTCAATTTTTCTAAATTGATTTTCCCGCCGTTTTCAAATTTTATTAGATCCCAGTCTTATGGCGTGAGTGTATTCGCCATTTTCATCACATAAAATTAGTAATAATGGTCAATTGTCTGGACAATCATGATTGAAATTACTTTCGGCTGTTGCTGAAAATTTTTCACTTATATGAAGCAGATTTTTATTCCAGAGGACAAAGATACATTTATTGAGTTGGAGGGTGAATATGAGAGCCTCCGTACCGTTGTGATAATTAAATTGGCGATCACTGCCAAATCTAAGGCTGAACAGTGAGTGCATCTTTGACGGGATTATGAACCATTCCTATATTTAAGGTAAGTATATAATTGATTTTGTCTAAATGTGAAATGTCTATAGCGTTTTGGGTGGGGAGAGGTAAAAACCTAATTAACATGAATCTCGACACAAAATTTACCGATCATTTGCGAGGTGTTTTTTTATATTATTCTTTGCGTTCGAACAGTGGCGCCAACATAGGTTAAATAGCAACGCATGATGATAAACTGGACAAAATATAAAGTGGAAATTCGCTTTGTAGAGGCATGCAATGTTTTTGTAGACAATGTGGTAAAAACACGCTGAAATGGGGAAAATGGGCCTAATTCTAGCTGCGAGGCGGTTTTGTTGTGAAAATCCTGTGTGCTGATTGGCTTAGAACATGGCAGCGAACAGAGCTCTCAGCCAATCAAAGATTTGACCGCTTTGCTTATACTGCATATATTTGAACTATACCATGAGCAATCCTGAACGCCTTATTACAAGGAGATTTTCCGGTAACATACCACTCCGGCATCCATTGTCTGCATTGTTAATGTTGGCAGAGAAGCCAACAGAAAAGTATTTCTTGGAAGTGATTGAAAACAAGGAAATCATTGGGCTACTATATATGTTGATCCATCTAATAAGCGTATCACATACTGTGACTCACTCGGTTGGCCTCCGCCTGAAAACATGTATCAGCGAGTTAATGTGGTATTCAAAGGAATGTACGGATACCATATGGTAGGATTTACAGTCATTGGAGCCCATGACTTCACTCAGTCTCCATCTGGCAGTCACCTTGCAACAAATTTACTTGTGCAACATACTTCCCTTTTCAGACATGTGCCGAAAGTTGGGGGTGTGGCTGCCATAGTCGTAGCCGCAATAGCGAGTCTCAGCCATTTTTTTAGATACATTACAATTGACCACCATAGACATTCCCAACACGTCCCAAAGCTATATATTCAGCAGCCAAAAAGGTACAAAAAGGTATTTTTAAGATGTGTAATCATGTCATGGATTGGATCATATTTGATTGATATCTGTCTTCTCGTTCCCCAAGTTGACACTTTAAAAACAAATTTGAATCACCCATCCAACCCTTGTTCTGATTCTGACGAAGATGAAGACAAATATACTAGAAATCAAGCAGGCGAACATTAAATCAGAAATAATTGACGTTTCAGTGTTTGAAAATGCAAAGGAAAGAAAAAAATCCACGGAAAAGAGGGATCCTAAACAGTTTGCAAAACAAGGGGAGGTTTCAAATGATCAAGATTTGCCAGCCAAAAAACAAATTATTTTAATGGTTTTATCCTTTTCTTCAATTCTAACTTGAAGCATAGCTCTTGACGCTGCCCAAATGATATCTAAGTCTTATAATAATTATATATTAGTGAGACAGATATGTCTTCACATATGACTTTTTTGGTAACATTATCTCCGTTGCCTAACGACAGAAGCAGTTTAAAGTAACCTGTTTGTTATTTAAAACAGTATGTTGTAGTATTCACATTTTGTAACACTCTTAACATGTTTATGATTGAAAAAAACGTAAACAGAAACAACAAAATTTATATTGATATATTTGATTATAATTCTTTATAGATTTCGAGGAATTGAAAAACAATGTAGAGGAGCTCGTTCTCGTCCATAGTGGGATCTAAAACAAAAGAAGAAGGCTCTAAGTTTACTTATTTGCAATGTAACCGTAGCGGATCTTACATTTCAGCCAAAAAAGGCAAAAGGCAACAGAATTTCCAAGGTATCTTCCTATTCATAAAGCATTCCCTAAACGACTGTATCTTTCATCAGCATTAACGTATGGCCAAGAAACATATCCCGGCGGCATGACACTACGTATACCATCTCTTGCTGACCCAGCATGACTTAAATTCATTGATTTTAATTTTAAAGTTAATTTAATCTAAATGAACTAGCATCATTTGGAATTAAATTAAAAGGATGATCAAATATCTTGCTTTCACATCTATCATAAATTACTATATTTCAGAAAATATTTCAGGAAGTATTGTTCAGTGAATTTTTGGCGGGGAGTGAGTTGGAGTGTTGTAAAGCAATTCAAACCTATCAGAGTATTTTTGAGGCTAGCAAATAATTAATTCAGGCTGCTTCAAAACCAGACTGACTTCTCACCAATACCATGAATTCGATATTTTGGATAGATCAACAAGATTGCAAATCTTTATAACCTAGTTTAGTATGAGATTTATGATGAAAGGTGTATGAGATCCATTAAGGATGTTTTCGGTTTTAAATAATGGGGTCTAACAGTTTAGACTAGGCATGCATGCACCAATTCAATAGAATGAACGCAAAAAGAATGCTTTTTTCCTCTTTAGGAACTTGCAAGATAGAAAAAAAAATTGCACTTCAACAATGAAAGTTACAAAAAACGCAGATTCGACTGTCATTGTTGAAGTATGTTATACACACTACGGGCATCAAGAAGAATTGCAGCACATTTGGCTTTCAAAAGCGGATTTTGGATGATATTCGAAATAGTCTTGGTGCATCCCCATTACCTTGTTGAATCCAGGGACATGCTTAATATTAAAAAGGAATTTGGATTAAATGAAATGCAATGTCATGACAATGATCAGCGAAGCGTGTTTGCATGGATAAAGGAATGGGAAACAAGTGACTCAAACCCAGTCATGTTTTATAAATTGCAAGGAGAAGAATGCCGTGATAAATTATTGTCACTATCGAAGAATGACTTTATTGTCATCTTACAGACAGAAGAGCAGAAGCACCTTGCAAGACAGTTTGGTCATAAAAGAGTTTGTTGCGACTCAACTCACTGAACAAATGCTTATGACTTCTTTTTAAGAACTGTGTTAATAGTTGATGAATTTGGAGAAGGTATGGTGTATATCTAACCACAAGACGTACGATAAGATGAAAATATTTTGTTCAAAGGTGAAAGATAATGTTGGCTCTATATCTCCGGCTTGGTTGATGTCAGATATTGTTACACAGTTTTATGACGCCTTTGTAGCTGTAAATGTATGCCAACCAAAAAGCTCCTTTGCACATGGCATGTAGATAAAGCACGGCAAGAGGCAATACATCAAAAGATAAGGAATTTCAGGAAACAGGCAAGTGTGTACACAATGATGAAAACTGTCTTGGACGAAACTGAAGAGGCATCATTTCAAGATCGTTTGAGCACAGTTTTTACTGGATTTGCATCTTCGCAAGGAACACATAGCTTTTACGAATATTTCAACAGTTACTGGGCAAGCAAAACAAGCAAATGGGCATACTGCTACAGGCTACGAGAGGGTATAAATACCAATAAGTACAGATACCTGCGTGGCAAATCCAGTCGTCGACTAGACAACTGCCTGTTCCACCTTCTCAAGTATAGCCAAGACAAATGCTTTTAAGGGCAGGCTTACCTAAGAAACATGATTTTTGTCAATTCTGATCAGATTTTGATTAATCTTTGGGAAAATGTTGTTTAGAGGTTGAATATAGAAAAATCACCAAAAAAAATAAAATATAGCATTTTGATCACGTGATTTAAAGATGGTAGATGCACAAAGGATGTCGCTACAAAATGGGATATAACTGAGCACCCAGGAAGGCTAGAGGTTCCATATTTTGGCCTATGATAACTCTAGGGTATATGTTCAAACTGAACTACAATCAATGTGATATATCAACTAGATTTTATTAAAAAAATTATCTTATCTGCACCATTGAATTGTCACGCAATTTTAAATATACTTTTGTTCTCAAAATAAAATCTATCAGGGTTAGGGGGCTCTAAGTAGTTCAGAATGAAATACATAGTCTGGGTAATATGCCCTGAAAATTTCAAGACTCTAGCATTAATAGAAGCTGAGATATATCCCAGTTTATCATGTACATTAACCGTAAATAAGACTTTTGAGAAAAACGCGTTTAAAGTTTAGGTAAAGGCATTCAAACACCTACTAATACTCCTATGCTTTACACCCTTACAGGAAAATGGTATTTAAAGTATTTAATGCTAGAGGGTCTTGAGCTAAAGTATCTACAAACAGACAATTACAGTTATTCAGTGATTTCACAAATTCCAGGGCCATATTGACTGGATGGTTTTGACAAGCTAGCTGCCTCTTGATTTCTCCGCCTTTTTGCTTTATGTCCTTCGGTTACATAAGAGCTTTTAATTCTTTTCTTGTCCATCATGCTAGCATATTGCTGGTGATATTTTGAATGGAACAAGCCAAGGTTAGCATACACAGCAAGCTTACTGGCTTTTCCCTCATTGTATTGCAATGTAGCAGAAGAAACTGCTATATCAAGGCGTCGCCAGCCAACAAAAATTTCTTTTGGGCACAGGGACCAGATAATGTTATGGAATGACTCATTGACATTTTGAGTCCCTCCATGTGTGCACCTTGAAAGAAGCTCTGTAGCAGTTAGGCTCTCAAATACAGGCCTCATTTCATTTATCACAAAATCTGGAAGCAATCTGGCATTAGCCTTTTCAAGGTTGCCGCATAGTGAAGGACACCACTGTCCACACATTGAATGGTCTCCTGACCGGTGGTGAAAAATAGCCCAAATTGCCTTTCTCATTCCATTTTCATCACCAACATGTTTCCTTATAGCAGCCCCATAATGACCTTGAATTCTATAAATATCCTTTTTGGTCAATTTGTTTTTCCCTCCAATTCCTTTTATTCTTTTTCCATTGCTGTCTGTATAAAACATTTTCTTACATTGAAAAACTAAATTGTTCAGCTTTCTCCCCATTCTCTTCTGAATGTGTCCAACACATTCAAGTTTTTCAATTTGTTTTCCTGAGTAGATGGGTGGCTCTGCCTCACTTAGATTTTTGAAACTCTTTGAGTCACCATCTCCCAAGTATCCAACATATGATAGACCATATTGTTCTTGTGATCGCCTGAAAATTCTTTTCACACCTTCACCTTCCATCGACCCAGCAGTTCCTTCATAATTTTTCTGGCAAACATGTGTAGTTTCATTGCCATTTGTTGCTGCTTTGCATTTATTGCAATGGTTTGTCAAGGTCTCAGTATCAATTATTTTAGAACTGAGTCCATTGACTGTTGCAACTGTCACTACACCATTCTTGCTGGAAAATCCACGCTTTTGCCACGTTCCATCACAAGAGACAGTAACATCATCCCCTTTGGCATCCTTGATCTCTGAAGCAGCCTTGTTTTTGCTCTTGGAAGACTCTTGCTTGAATGCTTCATGGATCCTTTTCTTGTTTTGATTCCAAGATTTGCTCGAAACTGGTGGTGGAAGGTCCATATTTCCACAGAAATTTCTGGCAGCTTCAAAGTGGCATCCAATTTCATACATTGAAACCTGTAGCCTGTCATTGACCTGGTAATGCTTGGATGTTGTGCACAGATCTGAGGATTTGAGGGCTAACCTTGAATTACATCCACATAAAAAATAAAGGGTGGACGCTTGTCCAACCAATTTTTCTTCGGCAAAGACCATCTTTTCTAAGCAAGTGCTACAAGCTAGTTGTTCCAAGAAATTTAGAATGTTCATAACACTCATGATTCTGTTGCCAGAAAGTCCAGGATCAAAATTATCGGACGACAAAAGAGTGACCTTAGAAGAAGATGCCGTTGCTTCGCCGTGACTCTCTGAAATTGACTGCGATGAGACAACTACGAGTGAATCGATTTCCATGAAACTTTCTTGCGTTTTTCCGTGGTCTACCCATGTTTATAAATTAGGTAGTGTCAGCTAAAATCTAAAACAAATACGATCGAGTCTGATGAAAAGAGAGTTCGAATGACACCAACGTTCTTGCACTTGGCCAAAACGAGTAAACAAACGGGCCTAACTTGCGATTTCTTCCCAGGAAGTGTGGATATGTCAGTTCGAGATACAGTTTATAATTTCGTAAAGCCAATACAAGTAAGAATATGAATAGTGAAGCACATTCACAGCGAAATGCGAAGGTAGGCAAAGTAATTTCACACCACACAACAGTTTTCAACGTTTGTTTGTGAGCGAGACGCCATGTTTGAACAATAGATTTCAAATCATGTGACCAGTTTTAGCCAATCAAATTTGAATATCGGACATTTTGCATCATTTCGACCAATGGAAAACCTAGATTCTCTCTTTTTTAATAGGAGACTCAATAAAGATGGTAGGCTTGTTGAAAAGATAAAAATGTAACGATTCGATCGGTGTCTGGGTTGAAGGGGTTAGGATGACGCCTGGAAAAGCATAAACCATTCATTTTTCACAGTTTTTGCACAGAATTTGAGCTTTTTACTGAAGGACATGTTTTTCAAATTGAAATATAAGTAACTTCCTGGGAAGATAGGTGAAATCTAAATTGACCGTCGGAAAGAAGATATTTTAAAATATGTAAATCCTTTCACTTTGAGATTTCATAAAAATTTACACTTTTCATCAAAATCTGAGGTAAGCCTGCCCTTAATGTGTTATAAAGCTCGCCAAAGGAAAGCCAAGCAAACGCATTAACATGATTCATGGCAGACACAGGTAGAGCCTCGAACTGTCCTTCAATAGAATATCATAGACAGAGTTGAGCACAGTTTGGAAAATACAATTTTCTGAAGGTGCCGAGAAGTATAGCTTAAAAAAGATAGACGCAGAGTGCGATGTTCAGGAATGCATGCTCTGGTGCCACGAATGTATAATTTGCTGCCACATGTACATGTGTAACTGTCCTTATTCCCTGATAACGTGTCATCTCTGCAAGCACATACATCTTCTTCACAGGTACCTACAAGAAAAAAGTAGCAATGACATGGTATCAAGCAATTGTGAATTTGACAATGGCCAAAATTAATCTAATGCTTCTACAGAACTTCAAAATTCCGTAAAGATGATTGCAAGAAGTGACCAAGAAGCAGATTTTGAAAGAGTGAAACTAATGCAAATGGAAAACTAAAGCTAATGGAGCAAGCACTGGACAGAAGCACACGAGAGGATGTAGAAGTAATTCAACAAATAAGTGCCTATCTTATAGCTGCTCTCAGCAAGTTCCAGTCACTTGTCAAAAGAAAGGGAACAATAATTTCACTTAAGCGGAAAAAGCCACCAAATAAAAAAATTGCAGTACAAAGATTTTTCTCCACTAGAAAAAAGCAGAAAATGATCAAAAGAATGCGATTTGCAAAACCAGATAGGAAAGTCATGGAGAAAATAAATGTGACATTCACGGAAAAGATGATCAGCATCAAAGGTCAACAAAGAGATGGCCCTAACATACCTGCAAGAAATATTTTGGATACGAAATGCAAGATTTCAAAAGGTGAGCTTCTGCCTATTTAAGGTTAGAGCTTTGTGGCAACATACTTCAGTACATTAGAATGGAAACATTTCTTAATTTCAATAGAAGAAAAAACTAGCAAATTTTTCTGGCTCAGACAAATTCTAAAATAAAAAATTTCTGCTCATTAAAGATAATTTACAATTTCTTTTAGATACATTAAAATTAGATATTAGGACATCAATCATACTGTTAAGTGATCTGTTGCAACATGAATTATTTTTTTCTCAAGCTTAAGTTCATGGTCATCGCTATTATCAACTAGCTAAATGGTAACTGACAAAACATATACCTAATTTCAATGAAAGGTATATCGACAAAAGACAACAATGGATGGGTTTTTGCAATTTTGTTATCGCAAATCTCTGGTTATATCCAAGAAAGATTTTTCTTCCATTTTTTCATTATACCAAGTCAGGCAAGCTTGTCTTGATTGGTATCTCACCCTAAAAGCAACAGCCAGGGGACTTGGAATAGAGATATCCAAGTAGAAAAAGATTGAAAAGTTAATTAGCAGGGAGAGACATATTAGGTGACATATGAAGTGTCAAATTTTACCACATTGCACCTCTACACCTGTTAAGTAGCCAGAGAAGAGACAATGTGTGTTTAGTAGCGAAACATATACATAACATTTTAGCATTTACACGAAAACTAACATAACTCAGCAGTGAGCTCGTTAAGAATGTCAAAAGCGATTATTAAGCAATTACGAATGTCATGTGATTGTCATGTGACTCTGATTGTGTGTTTAGTAGCGAAATATATACATAACATTTTAGCATTTACACGAAAACTAACATAACTCAGCAGTAAGCTCGTTAAGAATGTCAAAAGCGACTATTAAGCAATTACGAATGTCATGTGATTGTCATGTGACTCTACTTGACAACACCTCTTTTTAATATCATACCTAGCTTTTTATCTGTTTTCAGTCCACGATAAACTTCATTAAAGGCATTGCTGCATGTGCATGTATGCAGTGAAAGTTGAAAAAGATGTCTTTATTGCTGGAATCGCAAGAGTGATCAGAGTAAGTGCCGCCCCCTTAAAACTGCAGGGCAGTTGCAGACAGAGAAAGTCACAGCATCTACAGCATGTCGAGCATCAACTCATTTTGGGAGTTGATGCTCGGACCTCTGGATAAAGAAAGGGAAAGTTTAAAGTTTTTGTCAAGGGAAAAATATCTAGATCAGAGATGTTTAAAATATTATAGCCATTTAACCATGAGGACTTGTGTCCGCATTTTATATTCACACTGTTTGTAGTTAGAACCGGAGGGTATCATGTTTCAAGTTGAGTTGTTATGTTGAGTTTTGGTGAAGTCGCAAAAAGAGAATTCATCACTAAAGTTTCGCTATTTTATATGAGCGAACTCGCAAGGTTGGGGTATTTCCAACAGAGACATGTTCGTATGGGAAACATGCAATTAAGAAAACCAAGATTGAGAATGTCACTATAAACATTGGTTTGAAACCATTTGGGGAAAGCGTCTTCCTATCACAATCAACAGAAATGCAGCTTACTGTCAACTTTTGGGGAAGGCTGTGGCAAAGTGGGCTGTTTTTGTCAGAGGTTATGGAAGTCTAACAGAGTACGTGCTACTGTATGAGAATGGCAGCTCAGCTTTGTTTTTGCGAAATATCAAAAAGGAATTTTTTGAGTTGCAAAAGTACAAAGGATTTTAAACGTATCACCCTATATCTCTGTTTGACTCAAGACCATTATGAGGCTGAAGGCATTCATTATACTGAAGAGCCAGATGATCTGGAAATAGCCAGCACAGACTTATTACCAGGCAATCTTTGTGACATCGCACACTATCGTGAACACATAGATTTGATGCAAAATGCAGTTGCACTGCCAGGTGAAACTCACAGCTTAGTGCTAGCAGATGAAATTTATTGCAGTAATTTCAAAAACGAACTTGATTCACTACCAAAGGAGGAGGATTCAAGTAACCAAATAACATCAGGCAGTGATGTATTGAAAGTTTTACAAGAGAAGGTCGACAAAACAAAGCAGTTCTTCCTTACAACAAGGGGGGGAGTGCAGTTGTCTCGTCTCCTTCATTTTCGGCAGAGACAGGAGAAGAAATCACTTGTGACTGACACCTCCGTGGTGAAATATGTTGGGGAAGATGGTAAAGACCAGGGAGCATTGTCAAGCGAATTTCTTGCTGATACTAAATCAGATGTGTCAAAGCACTTCTCTCCAGGTGGGAGTCCCATAAATTCAACACTTGCTGTAATTTCTCTTTCACAAGATAGCCCCTCCCGTGCTTTCTAGTAAAATGTGTTTATGATTCCATGTTCAGAGATAACAATACGCAACAAATCACCTATGATGATTTCACCACAACTGAGCAAAATATCATCAATGAAATCAAGAAAGATCCTCAAGCTCATACGGATGCTCTTCTTGATAGTAGTTACCCTGGTATGATAAATCAAGAATACATAGGTAATATCTGCAATTCCTTAAAATTAAGTGTCCTTTAAATTTCTAAAAAGCCCAGTAACAATTTTGTTAAAAGTAAAGTTTAAGTATTTAAATCTGAAACGTCAAGGTAATGCTGATACACTTATATGAAACTCTATATGAAAGAGTTTGCTAAAGGCCTTGAGCAACATGTTTGTGTGAAAGAAGCAAAGGGGAGTTGTTAGCAAAAAGTGTACTGATGGCTAGGTCAGTTGGTTTAACTTATAGGTTTTCCATAAATTTGATCCTTTTGAATGCCAAGTATGTTTGAATTTTTTACAAGGAAGTCTAAACTTTTGATACTACAAATAACTGTAAAGCGATGTTCTTAATAAAGACAAATTTCAATATTACCAGTTGGACAGAAGAAAACGACTCGAAGCTTCTAGAACGCTGGCATCCTGCTGCGACTATGAACGCATTGACAGAAAACAATGAAGATATTAGACATGCTGAGTAGACACTTAATAAAAAAGAACAATAAGCTTCGTAATGAACTAATTATAGAAATGTTGCGTCATTCCTTTGTAATTCGTACAGCGGCATTCCTTTGTAACTGCTTGACCTATTAATTACCGTGATTTCTTGTTTATTCTGGAACTTTCCGTTTAAAATGGTATAAAAGAAGCATTTGTACGATTTGAGCTTTAGTATTAGTTAGTTTGATAGTTAGTCTTTACGCTCTTCGACGATAGACGATTATTATTAAGACTTATTATTGCTCTCATAATCGGAGAGTTATTTTTCTATGATCAATCTTCGGATCATAATTTGGTAGCATGAACTGCTAGAATGTTGCCATTTTGCAAATAGACAGTGGAGCCTTTCTCTAACTTATCATTTTTGAATTTACTGGGAAATTCACCTCTGTTTGTTCGTATTGTTCCGCAGCAATAGGTTTTTCTATATAATAGATCTTTCAAAAGTTTGACACTTGTATAGAAATTGTCAAAGAAAAGATGAAAACCTTTGTCGAGATAACATCCCATCAAATCGAAAACAACCCTTTGTACAAGTCCATGCTCTGCTGTGCCATCAGTCTTGCCAGCATACACTTGAAACTGAAGACAATAGCCCGTCATTGCTTCGCATAGTGCCCATACTTTAATCCCAAACTTTTTAGGCTTTTTTGGCATATATTGCAAGAATCCAATTCTTGACTTTGTGCCAATCATTTGTTTATCTAAGCTTAGATTCTGGGAAGGACAGTACATTTCCTGAAAAGATTTATTCAGGCTGGGCACAATATTTCCAAATTTGAAAAGCCTATCTCTGTTTGGATCATTCCGGGGCAGATCTTTAGAGTTATCTACAAGATGAAGATAACGCAACAGTTGTTTGAAACGGTTTCTTGTAAAAATACCAGCAAACCATGGCATATAAAAAAGACTTCCTTTTGACCAGTAGTCATCCATTTCTGGGAGGTTAGCAATTCCCATAGCAATATTCACACCAATGAATGCCATTATCTCCTCAGCAGTTGTTGCTGTCCATTTCATTGGTGAAGGTTTCAAAGTTTTCAATTGTACTTGGTAGAGATTTGTTTGCTCGGCTATATTTTTGAACATTTCATAGGAAAAGAATAAGAAGAAAAAATCCAAAGGGGATTTTGCACTCAAAGCTTTTCTGCTCAGCCTGCTATACTCCAAAAATGGTTCAAATTGGTTCGGGTTGACAAACGTCCCAGTTACTTCCTGCCAGGAAGAGTCACCATCAGCTTTTTTCTTCAGTTCTTTGTTGTTATCTGCTCTTTTTGTTACTGTTTGTTTTTGCTTTCCTTTTGCACACTTTATTTTTTGCACTGCCTTTTTTTGATAACATTCTTTGTTCTTGCTGACTGCAATACAGCGAAGCTACTCTCATTTTTGGAACCATAAAAGCTACTCTTTGGTATTTCTAAAAGTTTTTCATTGGTCTCCCTCTGTAGCACTTGGCCATTGTCAGAATCCGGCTCATCATCTGATTCCTCAGCACTCACAACCTCTACCTTTTGCATAACCTCTTCCTTCAAGTAAAATTAAAATTAAAGTCAAGGAAAATCAAATTTGTTATGTTTTGCAATGAGATTGGATATTATAGATTTATAGGGAGGATAATGACCCTTTTGGCCTACAGCGCTACATCCTTGCGATAGAAGAACCGACAAATTCTAATTTTACTTGAATAAACTAATAAACATTGCTGTATTTCTACAAAATCTAGAATAGAATTATCAAGCTTGAAAGGAGTAAACTTATCTCACTCTCTAGCAGTGTTTCTCTGTAACATGGCGAAGGGAAAGTTGCAGGAAATTGATGCGGTAATATAAAATTGTTATCTTCTCCAACCGAGGTATCTAAATCATCATCATAAGAATTTTCATCATCAGTTTCAGATTCATCAATATATTCTTGATAATCTTCATCAAAAAAAGTAGCCAAAGCTTCCTCTGTTGAGAGCTGCTTCGCCATTGTTGTTGTGGTCTGTAGGCCCGATGTCGAAGGATGGTCAGCCATCTTGGAACTTTGAGAATCGAACTATTCTATTCCTTTGTTTGATAGTAAAAATTGTAAACGAAGGCTGAAAGTAGCTTAAAACAATTGCCTAGGCATTAGTTAGCCTCTTTCTGACAGCTTTGAGGCTCAAGATAGCTCAAATGATCTTTTCTGATTGGTTGTTTAAGGGGGGGGTCATTAATGACCCCCTTGGCTGCGAACAGGTTAAAATGCTCCTTCGGAGAAACGGGGACAAACTCTACCGCCATTAACTCATATTGCAGTTCTAAGTTTTGTAGGGGCCGATCGAACTGTTAACGCTCCAAAAGTTCGTTAATGGTTGCTATACAGTTTTTGGATATTGCATTTATTCACTTTTCGACGTAGAATGCCACGCTTTTCAACGAAAAAACGGAAAGGATTTTTTGGTAAAAAGAATTGGGAAATTGTTCGCCAGGAAACAGCTTCAGATACCTCTATTGGTGAAAGTGACGATGGGCCTAGGCCAAGCACAAGTAGAGCTGAACATTGTGAAACTCCTTCAAAACAAAAGCATCCAACAGCTATAAGAAACTTGTCTGCAGAGAAGCTGTCAAATACAGATTTTGAAAAAGTCGAAAAAAGAATAATTACAAGAGATTTCAGTAAAAGAATTGGCTTATCAAAACCAAAAGCACATATCGAAGAAGCTAGCGGAGTTAAGATCCAAGATTTTTCACTTTTTCAGCAATGCCTTGAAACGTTTGCAGTTTGCTCTAAATGCAAAAGCTCAAAGTCCAATTCGAAAATCTTTCAAGACAATAAGAAAAGAAAGGGATTTGGAGAATACTTTTTCATGAAATGCAGTCACTGTGGGCTAAAAAGGAGTTTTTATCAAGCAAAAAGATGTCTGGTCAAGGAGGTGGCTTTGAAGTGAACAGAGAAAAATTGAAAAGATTCTGTGCACGACTGAATTTGCCACCACCAGTAATCGAAGCATCATACAACAAGCACTTGAAATACTCATAGTATCGCTACAAAACGGGAGAACCGTTTAAAGAAAATTGTTTTTGTGGAAATGGCGCAAGGTTTTGAAGATTAAATCTTTGAAGACGAACGTTTAACAATCAGAAGACTTCAGATTGAACCATTTATGTTCGAACCTGGTGCTGACGGATTAGAGAGAGAGGATAGTTTCTTAACTAAGCAGGGATCAACTAGCGATAGCGACGAAGAAGAAGAGATGCCTGATGTAAATCTAGAAAGAATCGGAAATACTGAGTGGTATGTTGATTTCACCTACACCTTTGCATTTTGTTATGTTTTTGAATGCGGGCGTTCGGATTTTTGCTTTTTTTGTCATGTTTTGACTATTGACTAAAACAGTATGGTCATTCATTAGCTAGGCCTCTTGATAGAGATCTCTAGATAGAGATGAACTTTGATATGCCTTATTGACCGGAGGCCAGTAACAGTAGAACGATGACATAAATTTCAATTTATCTCCCGTTTGTAAACATTTTTAGGTGCCAATACGGGACGTGCAAACGTATGCCTACCGGCCGTGAGAGTTTGTGTTGTCGTGAAGTTTACAGGGTGTGGCTAAAGGCAGATGACAAGAATTTACAATGTATAGGTGAAGACGAAGATTTTAAGACCGTATGCTTAAATACAGCAGTAATATTGACAGCAATCTACCAGTATGTTGAGGATGAAACTTACTTGGATGATGAACCAACATTTGAGTAAGTTATATTATTACATATTTTATCTGAAGCATTTTAAATAGTTATAGGGCACAGCAAGGGGAGGACACTGGTATGTCTCACAAAACTGCAATTATCCTAAGAGTACAAATGACTATATACCTACTAAAGAATTAGAGTAAGATTTTTCATTGAATGTAATAGGTTGGAATCTACAAATCTAATATTTCTAAAATATGTAAAAAGGACACTTATGAGAAGGGGCACTTTTTCAAATTTCGAGACACATGTCCCTGATCCATAGTGCCCCTAATTCTGACATCTTTGCAATTGTTTATATGAGCACCCCTTTCATCAATTTACCTGCAGGAGTTATCATCAGTACAAATTAACATATGAAAAGAAAAATTCCCTTGATATGAATAATCTAGTCACTGTACAGTTTTTTGTTCTATGTACACGTTGTTTATAAAATCTTGAATGAATATGAGAAAAACTATGATGAACTTTCTTTCTACATCAATCACTAGGTATTTTTCAGGAGGTCCTATTCATAGGTGTTTTGTCTAGCACCAATTGGCCATGTGAAAAAACCTATTCAATTGGCCATGTTAAAAAACCTATTCTCTCATTTATCTATTCTAGATTGTTTGGATACATCAGCTACAGACAGTTTGTAAGATGGATTTGGCACAAAGTTGGAAAGCACAGACGAGAAATACTACCTGCTTGTGTTGTCTGCTCCATAAGGAAAAAATTTCCTTCAAATGAATATACCGGCTTTAAATACCCAAAACTGGACATCTAAGATTTAAAGCGCAAAAATGATTATATTTTAAAATTTTAATCCCGAAAAAAATTTACTGCTTCTAGCTGCTGTGTAGAGAAATTGAATACACATTTATAATTTTGCAAATCTTGTGTGATGCCTTTCAATTTCCTCTGCCTTTGACATATTTTGTGCTTATCCGAAAGAAAGGCTGGAGTATCACAAGAGGAAGAAGCTTCTTTTGCAGCATGTACCCTGTTTTCTTCTCAACTCAGCTGCTTTCTTTATCAATGCAGTTACGTATTCTGCAAAGAAAATTCAGTAATTGACTTCTGATTTTAATCAGTAATCAGTAAACCTGGGTTTAAGGTATTTATGCATGTTTTATATAAGGTTTTATGCATGTCAACATGGGTTTAAGGTATTTATGCATTGGAATAAAAGAATCATCAACTCCAACAACCAGAGCCAATTAATGCTGTTGAAATGCATTTCTGATGATAACCACATTTACAAAGGAAGCTGAACAGCGAGCTATCATGCAGCGAGCTATCATGCTAACAAGAGAAACTGGGAAGCGTTTCAATATGTCATACAAGTTATCTTTAATTCTATCACTGTCAGAAAGAATGTTACCTTTGTATAGTTTATCTATCATATCTTGTGTTGGCACATGATAGCAAATATGATGGAGAAAATTAGGTAGAATATCATCCTGAGTTCTATGTTGCAGATACAAATCTCGCATAGGTTTTCTGCAGTATATGCCAAAGAAGCCAAAAAAGTTTGGGATAAAGCTTTGGGCTCTATGTGAAACAGCATCTGGCTACTG